TGACGTGGGCTCGACGGCGATAGCCGCCACGGGGTCCATCGCGCCCAGACGCATCTGCTCCACCTCGGCTTCCGCGAGGAGCGACACAGGTCGAGCGCCGCATGTGCTGCGTCTTGTGTCTGCTGTAGTAGCGGCCGATCCAACTGTCGTGTGTGTCGCGTGCAAAAGGGATCAGTGAATTGATGGTGACGAACGACGATCATGGTGTTGGTGAAGTAGCGGAGGGCAGCGTACATGCTGGTGGACGGCGATGGTCACCTTACAAAGGAGGTGGATGCAGCAAGCGAACTGTCCGTAGTCGTGCTCTTTGAGAGCTGTCTGTGCGCCGCTGGCGATCTGTGTGACCCCCACTGTATAGAGATAGAGTGAGTGTCCAGTCCGTGGTCAACTGGGAGGGGGAGAGGTCGCCTCGGCGTCCATTCAGCGTGCGCGCACGTACTCTTGAGTTGATCCCCGTTGTTGGTGATGGCCGACGTGTGGGTCGTGCGCGCAGCCCGGGCGATCTCCCGCAACACGGTTTGAATTCTACATTTGGCCTGCTCCAACTCCGCGATCTGTGGTCGCGTAGTGATGCGTGAGCAGCGTACGCTGTGTGTAGTGTGTGTCGCGTGTGAGGCACCTTCTTGGTTGATGACAGTCGAAGAGATCGTCTAAGAAGCAACCTATTAGTTTTGCAAACAAGCGTGCGACAGCGGCGCGGGGGTACCCTTTGTACTGCGCCTGGTGGTGGTGTTGCTGTTCCGCCTGCGGCCGTGGTTGTGGCCGTGGTTGCAGGTGTTCCTGTGACCGCGACTGTGGCTGCTGTGGTGGTTGTGGCTGTGGTTGAGGCAGAGGTTGAGGCTGTGGTGCGGTTACATCGCCTTTGTTCTTCCAATTTACTCGTGGTGGCGTGGCGGCGTGGGGCGACACCGGCGAGCGACGTGAAGGTTCCGCCTTTGAAGGAAGAATCAGAGGTAGACGAATAAAACTCAACATTTAATCGCTAACGTACGTTGTCGATCGATAGCGCGGAGAGGAGGGCGTCCAGGGTGAGCTCAGAACGAGAGGGCGACTCGGGTCCCGTTCGCCTGGAGCAAGTTTGAAAGATGAAATTACA